TGCCAGCCTCCTGGGAGTCCATGATCTCCTGTCGCCTATTCAAAATGTGCGCCAGCTCGGAGCTGTCCGTAGTAGCTGTTGTTGTTGTGCTATCATCGACGCTGCCGTTGCGCGAGGCAGAGGATGCATTCGAGGAGACAGACATGTTCTTTTTCCTTTTTTTGGTTCTTAAATTGTATGCGCTGGAATTTTGTCTGATACACCACACCCTATGCAAAGGCGTCGGCGGCGGGGGTAGAGACGAGGATGTAAGGATACACACACACACACACACAAATACACTGACGCAGAAAAGGCGCACGCAGGTCTCTCGAGAACAAGTGCAGACAAGCCCTAATTATTCACTGTCAAATTAACTGAAACTGGACAGCAGTTTATAATTTTGCAGTTTAAATAGTTTGCAAAAAGACGCGCGCGCGTAAATACCGGTGCAAAGTGGATTCTGTTATTTGTAGTTGAAAAAATTGTCGTCTGTTTAAAGCGCGTCGGACGTCCAAAGCACACGAAGTAGCTGATACGAATGAAAGGCAAAGCAAGCTGAGAGATGCACACGAGCGTTAGCTGTATTCTATTGTGAATGTTATTGCTATGTTAATACACAGATATGGCAAGGTTAGCAACGTTAACGGCTGAATGGCAAACAGCTGGACAGGAAAACATTCACGTGTAGTTGTCAAATTACAATTTAACTAGTTTAATTTCAATTGCACTAAATTTTCACAAGTCACTCGAACGTATATTGTAAATTTTATCAATAAAACAAGGTATTAAAATGGGTAGTAAATTCCTGAACAAATTACTGTTAATTGCTGGCTTTGCTAGTTTGGCGCATGCCGCTTTTTCAGCCGCACATCGTAAGTAAAAAAAGCTTTGTCAACCTTTGCTCGAAAAGAATACTAAATTAACTCTCATTTTGATATCTAACAGATCGCACCTATTTGCGACTAACAGAGCAGGAGTGGACCAGTCTACCTTTAGATGTACGTACATAACTGATCAGTTTTATCTCTTGAATAATGCTTATACCATTACTGTTGTAGATAATTTTGCAAACGGTGATAAGCCTGGTGGTCGTTGTCTATAATATTATTCAAATCGTGGGCAACTTCAAGGAGATACGCGCCACCGTGGACATGCAGCAAAAGACCTGGGATACTCTTGGCAACTTTCCATCATTCTACACATTCAATCATCGTGGTCGCGCTTTGAGTCCCGGCTACAAGCCTCCGCGACTCAATGAACCCGACGCACAGCAATAGTTGTGCTAACTAAATGTTCATTTGTAGCCGGTTTAAATGTCTAGTTTAATGCAATTTTTTCATAAATTATGCTAAACCAATTTAAAATGTTTATTTTAGTTGTGAGTCGCTTGGCTAACTGCGCAGATCATTCTCAACTAGTTTACCGGTTCCAAGCTTTTCACCTGGTATTGTTGCTCAGCTTGTTCCAGGTGTATCAGTTGATCTAGCAGTTGCTCCTGTTGCTTAAGCTGGCCAAGGAAATCCGACAGCTGCAGAGCGCCGCGCAGCTGTTGTCCAGGCGTTGAATTGCAGCCATGATCCTGGCACAGACGACAGCCCGCCTGTCCACCAGGCCGTAGCATGCACTCGTAGTAGAGTTGTCCATTGGAGCGACAGCCACGCATCACCTGCTTACTAAACGCATCGTAGTATTCTAGGCACGCGGCTGACTGATCTGTCGGCTCGTTGGCTAACAGTCCGCAGGGCACTGCATCTTGTCCACGTTGCACCTGTTCACAGTTGCTGCACTGATGACACCACAGACGCTGCTCCGGATAGGCGCCCTTGTTGCAGAAGCTGCCCTCACAGCTGCGGCAGCTGGCAACGGCAGCACCATCACAGTTGAAATCTGTGCGCTGGCAGCCACGTTCGGTGGTGCCATTGATATAGTTGACCACCAGGCAGGGTGCTGCCGTTTCTGTGCATCGCTCTATATCAATGCCACCCGGCTTCTCCCAGTTGGCACAGCCCGCGGCATAGTCGCTGCTGCAGCGATAGCAGCGCGTAAAGTCTAAGGAATTGCAAGCCTGCTGATCGCTGTTTCCATCACATTCGTAGCAGTCGAGGATTTGTGGATCAGTTGGTGGTGCACCACAGCCTCGTTTCAGCTGCCCATTGGTGTACTCGCAGGTATAGCAAGAGGATGCTTCAGCCGAGCCGCAAACCTGGCTCATCAAAGCCGTGGCATTGCTGCGACAGGTCTCCTTCTCCAACGAATTGCAACTGAGGCAGCGCTGCTGTGGCAAGCAACCGGCATTGCAATTGTCGCCGCTAGCACATGTCTCCAGCTGTGCGCGTTGTGTTTCCAATTCCTTTGGCAGCTCGGCGGCACAGCCACGCACCACTCGCCCCAGGTGTCTGTACGTGTAGCAGTACTGCTCCTGCTCCTGGCCAAGCAGCATTTGTTGCTCGCACTGCTCGAACTGACTGACATTGCAGCGATTACCCAGCTGAAAGAGATCCATTTTACAGCCGCGTGCCTTGAGTGAGTCACAGGTGGCGCACCTCAACGTCCAGGCGCCCAGTGCATCGTTGCAGCCATTAATCTCGCATAGCTGGGCTGTGGCAGCTGCCGTGTGATTCGTATCGGACCTGCAGCCACGATAGGCCATTGTCGAGCTCACGATTTCCGTATAACACTGGTCCTCTTCGTGATGATAGCGGCAGGGCCGAGGCTTGCCTGCTGGTGCTCCAACACAGCTCTCGCCGGCACAGTGATGACACTTGAGTCGTCCAGGTGGATAGACACCAGTATTGCACAGGTTGCTGGAGCACCTCTTGGCATAGGTGGCCTCTGTGGTGGGCGTCTCTGCACCACAGCCACGATACGTTATCGAATCGACTGAAAAAATTCAAATGGGAAAACGTATAGAAGAGGCAGATGGCAATGGAATGAACGTACCGATCTTATATACCTAAGAATCTAGAGACTTGTACTCCATTTGCAGAACAATTTAATTTGTTTTCGATAACTAATTCCATTTAGTTGATACATCTATTTCGTTTGAATGTTTTTATAGCTTGAGTTCTTAAATTTACTGTGTAGGTTTTCTAGTTCCTGCATTTTGTCAACAATGGTCAACTTTAACAGTGAAATATTATAGAATATAGGTATTCTCACGGCTTTATGGCTTATAATAATGGATTACCCACCTATGGACATGGCGCAGGTCAACTCCGTGGCGCACTCTTTGTAGGGCAATACACCCACCTCGCCCAGGGTCTGGGCACATTCGGGCAGAGCGATAGAATCGCAATGATAACACACAATGGCATTAGCTGGCTGCAGAGCGAGGCCTATGAAATATTTATGATTAACGCATTATTGGAAAAGCATTAGTTGCAACACTTACCGCACAGCCAGAGCCAAAGCCAGAGCCAAAGCCAGAGCGAGAGCCCGGACAGGTGGATCAGCAGGTGGTTAGTAGACGGTTGGCTCATTACGACTTGTACTGCACCAGCCTTTGGTCAAATTGCTTCTGTACAATTGACAATTGAGATCCGTTTTATGGCTTATCACTGGGCCATAGAACAAAGGCCTTTATCAGCCTGATACAGAGATACGGATAAGCCCTATTTGTGGCTAAGAGCTTAAGAGCAATGGCCATCCATATTGCAATGTGGTCGTTAAAGAGGTATTGACTATAATTATATATCATTTTGTTTAAATCGTCTGAGAATTGGAAATAATATAATGCAATGCAATGCATAGATAAAAGTTTGCTCATAATAAATCTAGTGGGAATTTAAAATAGTAAAGACCATGTCTTACATTTATCATATTCAATAAGCAATAAACAAATCAGTTCACAACGAAATAGGTTCTGATCCTGATCCATCCTTTATAAGGTGAGGTGAGATTGGGAAAACCAATATACTCTTTTCGCAGCATAAAAACATTTACATAAAGTCGTGTCGAATGAAATCATTAAGGATACAAAGCATATATAACTAGGTCTTTAATAGGTATCACTTATGTATATGGTATACCTGTTATAGTTTGACTAAATTATCATAACCAATGAGAAAATGACATTATGTAAATATATATTTCCAATAATATGTGCCCGTATGTATGGAAATTCTTATCAGTACACGCACGATCTTATGACTAATTTGAATTTATGAGAATCACAGAGGTGGGAAATAGCTCAAAATAAAAACATTTTTTTTTTGTGGGTACGTTATAAACATGGAACTTGAACGTCACGAATGGGTTCTAATTAAATTCCTGAGAATCGCATAGTTCAATGTCTGATGCAGCAAGATTTAATTAGCGCACTCTATAAAATTTTTAAGGGGGTTTGAAAGGACTAATGAAACAGAAACTGCCTATATGTATAGTATATATGTGAATATACGTATATTAATTAGACTATATAGCTTCATAGCTTTTAATACAAATTCAATTATACAAAAAGCCTCTCATATTTATAGTGGATTATATATATGTATGTATGTATATATTATAATAGGCATTTTGGATTGAGTTGGACTTGCATATTGACCTTGCGATTCAGCGCAGATGTCATAGGTCGGGTGCAAAATAGACATATCATTTGGACATGTTTGGATACTACATTGTTGTGGAGCACAGGGCTTCAGCTCTGCTCAAAGTTCACATGATCAATTATTCAGGAAGAAACGGAGCGATTAAATGGGGAATGAGATAGATGGGCTGGGAAGGTCGGGTGGTAGCTTTAGTTTAGTTAAATGGGTCGACTGTCATGTATCGATTTAATTTAGAGTCGGATAATTGCGTGACTATCAGCGACATATGGCCAGCAATTTAATGGCCTTGCTTCAGTTGCGGCCGCGTCGGCAACGGGACTGGAACAGACGGACAAACGACAATCAAATTTAATTTGTGCATACTATTTGGCTATTGGGCTATTTGCATAGCTCTCAGCGCATCCCATGCAAATTGACAAAAAAAATTTGATTTTGATAGGCCAATTAAACGCCCGTTTAAACAATAATTTCATAATAAACCGAGTTGACAATGAACCTGAAGTTTCTATGTTGGCTGCTTCTGCTGCTGCTGCATGGGAGTCTGGCGCAGGACCAGGACGAGGAGGAAGTACGCCAGGATGTGGAAATGGTTACAGGGGAACAAGTTAGCCCTACAGTACAAGTGGAGACAGAGTCGGATAAGGCAATGGAAGACAGATCCAAGGAACAGCAACCGGATCCTGAATCGAATTCGGAGACGGATAACGAAATCGAAATTAAATCCATGGAGCAGCAGGAGAAGGAAAAAGAGCATGAGCCGGCAGGAGCTACGGACAAACCAATGGAAGAGCACGAAACAGAAACAGAAACTGAAATGGAAACTGAAACGAAGGCAGCGGATCCAATGGATCACACGTCCAAAGAGCAAACGGAAACTGAAGCTGAAGTTGAGCCAGATGTGGAGCCACATCTCGATATTCCATTCAAGCCGCCGGAACCGACAAGTGATACAGACAAGTCGAAGGAATCCCAGGAAGCTGAAAATGAAGCCGAAGCGGCAAACGAGAAAGAGGACAAGTCAAAGGAACACGACTATCAGGACGAGGGAGCAGCGTTAGCCAATCCTCCAACACCGGAACAACCACTAGCCCCAGCGCCCACAGCGCCCGTGAAACAAGTGAACATTCCATTGCCCGTGCTGCCCAATTCCTGCTACAGTTGCTCCAGCTATCGGAACGGAAGCTGTTTGGAGCACCCAAAAGAGCAGCTCAAATGCCAACTCAACGGCAAACGCAGCGGCTGCTATACGCTTTACAAACGTTAGTAAATCTGAAATTATTATTATTTGTATTTATTATTTATCAAGGCTTAAATACGTAGTGAATGTTTTTAAACCTTTTCTTGGCTCAGATTTTGAGTCCATTCGTTTATACTTGGCTCAGGTTTTAAGTGTGTAAAGTATATGCCTTGAAGTCTCTCCATCTGTTTACCTCTCTCTATATCTATTAATGCTAGAGTGTTGCTGCTTTAACTATATTTTTTGATACACTCGACTCTGTTGACAGACTTTTCTGACAAGACATTCTAAATCTTTTTTACTTAAACAATATTGAGACTCGAAAGAGTTATACAAGAGTGGACAATAGGAATATAACCATATGTATCATATATAAGTATTTAAGAAATATTAAGCATATGTGAATAGTATTGTTACATTCTTGTGAATGTTTTTTTTTTTTTATTTCAAGATTTTTCTACGCTTCTTTTTTTCAGGTGATACGCAGCTCATTATGCGCGGCTGTGCGGCAGATCTCGCGGAGGAAGGGGACAAGTACTGTCGCAAGGAAACGAAACTCTGCCTGCTTTGCAATAGTTCACTCTGCAATTCGGATCTAGCACCAAACGCTGGGGCAGCTAAGCTTTTGGCCAGTTTAACGATCTTGAGTCTATGTGTAACAGTTCTATTGGGCTAGGACTCGTCTAGCTATAGAGATATTGAAGTCGCATTGCATATGTATGTTTTATAGGCAGGAAATAAATCTTAAAAACCTTTTCCATCTATATCAAAATTCACTTGAGCGAAAATTTCAAGTTATCAATTTTCGCTCTATATAGTATATAAGCATGCAGTATCAGTAACATTATAACAATGATTGATAACAAAATCATTTGCTATCAACAGTCTAATAAATTATGTTTAATAACTGAAATGGATTTAAAGAAATTTTGAAATATTTTTTTCACCAATTTTAATAAATGCAATAAAAATAAGAAAAATTTCCTTTTTTTTTTTATAAATTTTTTGTTATTAGAATAATTTATTTATTAACTCTCAATTTATTATTAAATAAAAAGGAAATAAACTTTATAACATCTATAACAATTTTTAGAGAATTTGTCAAGTGTTTTAACTTCCTAATTAGCTACTTTTTATCTAGAAGGCCTTTAGGGAGGTCTGTAAATAATGATTCATGAATGACTCATAAGTAGCATGGGCCGTACCGATTTGATTTATAAGTAATGTATGTATATATATATTTTTTGTTTGTCATATAATTGGCTTTTGTTTGCTCTATTCAAATTATATATATTTGTGCACAATGCAAATTAGCGCGAACAGGGTCAGAGCCATTTGCTGCAAGGTGCCGGCTCCACTGTATGACTCGGTGTTGCATCCCATGCCAGTGCATTCGGTGCATCTTGCGGAGCTCGCTTTTGAGCACTGGAATTTCATCACATCACTCGCTTCGCTGAGGCAACCCCGAATCACGACTCCATCTACAAAGATAAGATAAGTCATTTATATAATTATATACATTAAAAAAAAGAGTTTAAGCTAATTGAAAGACAAATCTGTTTCATTGCGAAATGAAATACTGAAATTTGTGTGTTTTGAAATGTGGATGATTATCGATGAGGCTTATGGAGATATTTTTAGATAATTCAAAATGTATCCTCCAGAGTGTATCTGAGCTTATAAACATTTTCGTCTCAGGTCTTTGAGATACTCCCGGCTTCTGTGACCCTAAATATATCTCAGAGTATTTTTTAAAGATTTTCACAATACCTATAAATGTGTCTCTATTGTGACTACCTATATTTCTACAGTAACGATGAACGTAGTATCAAGTGTATTGTATTGCATTGTATCTGTAGGAAATATCTTTGTTGAGTACCTCTGTGGAATCTCATTATTTCTTAATCTCCGTTACTTTAAAAGGTCTTTCTATATAGCAGTGTCTCTTCACTGACACACTATCTGTATCTTTTTCCATCTCTTTCTTTCTCTTGGTATATTTCACATGGTATCTCAGAGTGTTGGTATGAGCGTATTAACTATATTCCTAAAAGTATTTTTAAATTGATCATAAATTGGATCAATTAGATATATTTTTACCTATGTTTGTATCTAGCTAAAGTGTAGATTTGATCTCGTATCTGTTAATCTATTTCTTAACGCATCTCCTATCTCCGCACTCACCCCACTCTCCACTGAAGCATTTCATCGCATCGGGTCCACTCAGACTGGAGCTTGGACAATTTTCCTGTCCGACGTGTCCTTCACGACAGCCCGCAAAGTAGTCGCTCCGACAGATCAAGCATTTGAATACGGCTGCGGCCGCGTTGCAGCTGGTGCCCTCGCATGCATCACAATTGTTGGATGCGTTGCATCCGCCAGTCAGCTCATTGGTGCAGCCACGTGCCACGACACCATTCGCAAGCAGTTGGGTATAGCAACTGTTCACGTTCTGGGTATACACGGCCGCTGCACATTCAGTTACATTGCCTGCCTGCTGCAGCGGGCACTTGTCGTTGTCATTGCACTTGTAGCAGCTGCCCAGGACACGTGAATACGGCCTGTTGTTGCAGCCATTGTCGTTGTCGCAGTACAGGCAGTTGGCATCGGTTGAGGTGGCCGAGCATTTGTTGTCCGCCGCCGTGTCCGACTGGCAGCCACGCTGCATTGCGGTCGCACTGGTGCCGATCGTATAGCACTTCTGTCCTGTCGCCTGATAGATCGCACAGCCCAGCAGCATGGTGCTGTTGTCCAAGTTGCTGCAGGACTCGCCGCTGCACTGGTAGCACAGGCGACGATTCTCCGGAAAGATGCCCACATTGCAGTTGTCCGTAGCGCAGGACTTGCAGGTGGCATCATTCGCAGCACAGTTCCAGCAGCCACGTGCCACAGTACCATTCGACTGCAACTGTATCGCGCACTGCTGTGTGGGCGACCCGCATATCATGTTAGATGAGCTCGCGCCAGTCGTTCTGCCGCAGTGCGGTTGGGAGGCATCGCACTGCTTGCACATCAGTGCCGCATTGCAGTTGTCCGTGTTGCACTTCAAGCAGTTGGGCGGGGCACAGGCGGGGTCCGTTGAACAGCCACGCGTCACAGCACCATTATCTGCAAAAGTCAAGCAGGCGTTCAGTTATCTTGGCTAGGAGTTTGCTGTCAGGGAACTGTCTTCAGGAGTAGATATACTTCAGATATACAAAATGACTATCATTTACACTTTCATCAGAGCCATTCTGAATATTTTAAACAATTTCAAGTTTAACAATACCATAAAATCGAAAATTGATAATCTTAGCTCAAGCCTTCTTTTTAGATATTGATAAAAACTATTCGACTAATGACCGCTCTAGAGTTCCAGGAAGAATCCTTCTCTTATCTGTTTACAATGAGTGTACAGTCACTTTTTGTGAGAGCTACAGAATAATGCCCATAATATTGACGTAAATTCCGGCAGAAATGATCTTTAAGAATATTAGTACTATATATACTCTTTAACTAAATAATTAAATAGTTTCGCAATTTTGGTTCTATAGGAAATGCTTAAAACATTTCACACAGTGTACTACCTTTAATGCACTCTAAAGTCAATTACGGATTTCACAAGCGGCTTAATGACCAATAATGATTTGTGAACATATTCTATATCGTTGTAGGTGCAAAAATGTATATGAAAATATACATTTCTTATCGCATGTCCACCTGGCTGCAGATAAGTAAGCTTTGTCCAATAAAGAACTTTGGTAAGCCAAATATTAACTTATCTGTAACCATATACAGTTGTGTGTGCGCCAATCCCAATTATGGATGATTCATGGGCTCCAGCGAATGTATCTTACCTGTTTTTACAAAACATTCGGTTACATTATCTGCACAGGCTTGGGATGTGCCTGCACCCGTGCTGCATGCTGTAAGTAACAATCCAAATATTTATATAAATTTAAGATTGATCGATTGATCCATATATTTACAAGTTGATTTAGTGATATACTATACAATAACTTACTCAGCGCCGCTACATCTTTATAATGGCTTATTGCGATAAGCGCAGCTAACAGAATGCTCAGTTTATGGGTTTGCATTGTGTAATTGAATTTGGTCTTCTCTTCTGGGTTAGTTTTTGGCTTTGTTCTAGGCTCTATGTAAACCGTTTGCCACGACTGTTGCTCGCTAACTGGTCGTCTTTTGCAACAGGTAGCCGTTAGCCCTCTCGTTGACTTCGATCCATTCCAGTTCTAATTCCATTTCAACACACACTACAAATTATTGTTATCTTTCGACTTTTGTATATTTTTTTTTCAGCCAATTCTTTTGCTGATAACGGCAAATGGGGCGAGATAACATAGACATATATTATACATGTATACATATACATACACATTTATCTATACAAATATATTTATATATGGTAAGTACCAATAAATGCAGTTTAAGCTTTTATTTTTGCAAAACTACGTAAGCGTAAGCAAAACTACGTAAAAGCTATAAAGCTTTTAACTTTCGTTTGGGTTGGAATTCCAGCTAAAACACTTGCAGTTGTGCTTATTTCGGACTTGCGCATTGGAGCTTTTTGAGGATCACAGAGCTTTAAGCACTGAGGAAATTCTATTGCAAATAACAAACAGTTAGAGACTGACTGAACGATAGGGAGTTTTGTAATATTTTGATGAGTAATGTAGAACAATGTAAATAATACTAAGAAATAAAGAATAAAATAAACAAATAAAATAAATAAACAAAAATTGTGTATTTTTTGTTAACATATTAATTTATAAAAATAACTAAATTAAAATATAATAAATCAACTTATATATGGAAACAAACATATTGAAGCTTTTTATAAAATAATTAAAAGTTAAAAATAAAAAAAATGCTTAAAAATGTGTATGATAAATAATCTCATTTTCATGTACTTGATTATATGTAGCTTTTGATACGCATACATACATAAATTATTTATTAATTGAGTGTAATAAATTGAATGTAAATAAAAATATCGATCGAATTAACTCCATAGCGACAAATTGTCAAATCTTTAATTTATAGACTTTTTGTTCTGCGAAGAGTGCTCGTATAATTTACGATTTAGACTGTATCACTAATTCGTTAATGATTGAAAATTAGAGTATTGATTTGGTTGAATAGGTGAAATAGACATCATAAAAATCAAGGCTGCACCTTGAATAGCCCAATAGAAAAGTATGAAATGTCACTATTTGATTTTGCGATAAGTACTGCATTGAAGATTACCGGCCTATATAGACACAGACATATGTATGTATATATATGAATATATATGTTTATATAATATATTTATATATGACGCAGATGCCATTTAGATAGACATGCAGAAAATATGATCGTATTTGTGCAGAAATAGTCTACTTTATAATCCCCACAATTGCGAAATGATGACATTGATTAGATAAAGTTTCCTGGAAACGCACCTTTCTAAGAGATCTCATTATTTGCTGGTCATAAATATTGATACCCATTTATTTACTAAAAGTCTTGTGATTTTTTCGCACGTCGACAATATTTGATATTTGATGTACATATGTATAAAGCTCTCAGAATCCTGAATAAATACGCCAAGACAAAACTAATATCGTGCGAAATATTTAGTTTAATCTTAACAAATTAGGATTCTCAATAAAAAATTAGTCGAAATTTTCATATAATTTTACCAAAGTTTTGCAATGAATAAGTTTCATATTTTGCAGTCGCTTCAAAAATTTAGTTTGTAGCTAAGATTGGCTTTTCCATGGGTATCGTTGAACTTTTACCCGTCATAAACATATTCCAGCAATGAGTGGAACAATTCGATTTTTACCATTTACAGGTTGCTTTCAATAATTTCCTTAGCTTTTATTGGATTATTAACTAACGATAGAGGTTGATAGATGATTTGTTTATCTAAGCAATTGAAGTTATCAGCAATTCGGTCAGCTGAACAAAGTGTCTGAAACGATTTTTTATACCTATTATAAAGTAAAATAAATATGCTATGATTTTTTCAAATCAAAATTCTATTGATATGGTTTATTATCTTTTTATTTTTATTATACCGTTTAATAATTTCATCTTGAAGTACAAATACAAATCACCTAATGGAAATAAGCATATTTATATATAATATAGATATACAATACATATATATATGTATATTATAAAATTAACATAAGCCTTAGAAGAGGCTCTTCAGCCCTATGCCCACAAGCAGCAGCAGCGCTGCCAAGGACATCCGTAGACTGCCACTGCCATTGCAGCGATCCATCTGGCACACGTCGCACAGATCTCCCACAGCGTCCTCCGGCAAACCAACTTTCTCGCGCACCGCCTGGCAGCCACTCTGGCCAACTGGTATGCGAACGCAGCCGCGATTAAGCACTGATGGGATAGAAGAGAAAAGAAAATCGATTAGAAAGGAACTCAAAAAGTGATCAGAAGGGTATATTAGAGCAGCTGTCTAGATTTTCTGCACTCACCACATATAGCTATTATATTATCTATATATTTAAAATAACTATTCTACAATATATATAACTCAAATATATCATTCGAATATCTATGTAGTTTTTTTTTAGATATACATATAAGGCATGAATAGAGTTTAGAACTCACTCAAAAATAAATTCTAAACAAATATTACTTAACCTTACAGTTTGAGTGTTATTACCAAGGCTTCACAGGTTGACAGCCGTGTATTTAAAAAATTAAAAGTATAATCCTATTAAGATCTACCATGACTAAGCAAAAAGAATATTACCCAAGGGACACCGTTTTAAGTCGCTGGATTAGTTCTAGTCAGTTTGTGGACACTGCCTTAGCTTTTACATTCAATGCAGAAAGCTCTACGAATACTATAGAGCATCTGACAGTCGTTGACAACCGCTCGCAGTTACTACAACTTTCGCTCCACTTACCGCCATCTTTCTCGATGCTGTAGCAGGCCGCCGTACGATATTCAACGGCTCTTGCGGATGGCTCAAGGGACCGATAGTTGCGAATCAGCTGATCGGCTGCCTGGGCGGCCAATGAGCGACGCGCACGGCTGGATCGAGCGCCGGCAGCAAAAGCGGCTTGCTTTCCATTTGGAGCAATCGTTGTGGACTCTCCATTTATCGTTGTGGATTCAGGGCTTGTTGAGGAATCCGTAGCTGCTTCCGATGAACTGGATACTGAGGATCCGGTAGACTCTGATGTGTCGATCGTTGGGGAAGCTTCGCTGCTTTCAGCTGTAGTTGGTTCCGATGAACTGGATGCTGAGGATCCGGTAGACTCTGATGTGTCGATCGTTGGGGAAGCTTCGCTGCTTTCAGCTGTAGTTGGTTCCGATGAACTGGATGCTGAGGATCCGGT